GTGGTGAGGGGCTGCTGCGCGGTGCCTGTAACGGGCTCCCTGTAAACCTTCCTCCCGCAACCTAATTTTAGGTGCCACCTGCTGACCAGTGCTTGATTTCAAAGCTGAATTAATCTGTGAACTCAAAACGCGTCAGATGAAATCAGCTTCTTTTACGTGGGTTCCGATCGTGATGATTTCCCTCTTAACCGTGTATATATATATATATTATTTTTCTTCCTAACGATTCGGTGTCACAGTATTTCTCTCCCCAGTGAGAGAGGAGGCTGACTGCTGCTTCCATCAGGTAGAAAAGGTCAATCTTCCTGCCTCTAAGAAGATCAATCTTCCTGCCTCTTGCTGCGGGTTTGCTTTGCCCTCTGGTTTCAGGAGCGATGCATTTTGCTGTGACTCTGTTCTTGCTCCCCTTGCAGCTGGGGACAGTTAATGGTTCAGTGCCGTGGTCAACCCGAGCTCATTTTGAGAGTCTTGTCCCCTCCATCCACCTTCTGCCAAGGCCTGTGGGCAGGATGCTTCTACCTGAAATATCCAAAAGATATCTTTTAAAGTTTTCCTTTACCAAAGCACTGTGAGGGGAAAAAAAATACAGCAAATTGTACTTCTGTGAAGATCAGTTCTGTGCTTTTCCCTGCTGCCTCGTTCAATTTGTGAAAATAGTCAGTTTTCTAGTCAATATTTTTCCCGAAATTCCATGGGAGATGTCGGATGCTGAGTTTAAACACTTTTCAGTGCCGTATCTAGTGCCAGTTTATGCAGCGCTTGATCACAGTTCTAGCCAGTGGTCCTTGATTACTGCTACTGCCTTGAATTATTAAAATACAAAAACTAAAGCTCATCTCTTACAGATTTTATTACTTGCATCGTGTTCATTCAGTTTATACAACAGATTAAGTTTCTTTATATAGTCTTAAGTATAGCATGAAATGCTCCTTTTGGTTTGGAATGCATATACTAGCCATTTCCTGGTAGGTATATATTTTCATTCAATGAACAAAGGTTCTCAGTTTTGATCATTACCTGTCAGCTTGTTAATTTGCAAGCCATTAAAAACTTGCAGATGACTTTGTTGGAACTTGGTATGATCTCCTTTATCTTTTTTTTTTATTCTCACTTCTTTGCAGTGACCTTAGTTAAGATATACAGCCCTGAGCCTAGAATACAAGTGCTGCGGGGAATGGCACTAAGCACCATGAGAACAACAGGAAAGCCTTGCTTGATGGGAGGATTATTCATTAGGCGTTGAGAGACAAAGTCCATGGTCTTCGAATTGTTCTGTGTTCACCTGTATCCTGTGAAATACACCTCTGGTAGAAGCACAACCCTTAACATCTCGGCAGCCTTTTGCTCATTGGGTGCTATGAGACTGAAGGTCGCTTACTCTTTACTCTCTGTAGTATTTACTTTGTAACTTAAATTCCTGTAGGACTTAAATTCTCATCAGGCTTTAGTTGTGCTGTAGCTTTAGACTCAGTGTCAGGTTTCCTATTGCATTACTCCTGTTCACTTTGGAGATCAAGATAACACTTAACTGGTTTGGCTTTTTCCTCTCTGAGATGAAGCCTTGTCTGTGAAGTTTTTTAAGTCTTTTGATTTCACTTCTTTCTTCATGCCATATTTTTCTTGTTTCAGTTTATAGCTCACCAGTGGAAGCATCCCTGAATTGTTTCTTTGCTTCTGCATAATTTTAAAATTGATCACTTCTGAGATCAATAATTAAGTCTTGATACTCTGTATCAGAGTCCTCTGTCAATGCCAGCTGCTTGGACTGGATTGCAGGGTCTTTGAAATATGATGATTTTTACAGAATCACATAATAATTGAGATTGGAAGGGACCTCTGGAGATCATCTTGTCTGACCAGAGCAGGGGCAACTAGAGCACGTTGATCAGGACCTTGTCAGTTAGGTTTGGAATATAACCAGGGATAGAGGCTTCACAACCTCTCTGGGCAGCCTGCTCCAGAGTTTGATCACTCTTACAATAAAAAAAAGGTTTTTTCTTATGTTTGTAAATTGATTTTCCTATATTTAAATTTGTTCCCGTTGCCTCTTGTCCTTTCCCTGGGCACCACTGAGAAGAGTCTGGCTCAGTCTTCTTTACTGTCTCCCATCCAGTATTTACACACGTTAGTAGGATCCCGAGCCTCCCTTCTCCAGGCTAAACGATCCCAGCACCCTCAGCCACTCATGCAAGAATCTCTCATCCCTTAATTTTCACAGCTCTTCTCTGGACTTGTTCCTGTAGATCCATGTCTTGTACTGTGGAGCCCAGAACTGGACACGGCGCTCCAGATGTGATTTCACCACTGCTGAGTAGAGGGAAACAGCCACCGCCCTTTACCTGCTGGCAATATTCTTCCTCACGGGTTTCTTTGCTTACATTGGGGGGAAAAAAAATGAAAAGAACAGAAGTTCTAAGGGTTATCTCCTTGAGCCAGTGCTTGGCACAGACCCCTCCTGCCCCATGGTGATGCTCTCACAGTTAGAGTACGCAATCATCGTGTTTGGATGTGGACGTTTGAGCTCACAGGATGCTCAGCTGTGCTGGGGAAGGTAATTTCTGTCTGGGAAATGCAACAATGCAAATGGACAGCACGTGAATCTGGAGGCACATTTAGGTAAATATCAAACCCTTCAGTCAGCCCAACATTTTCATTTTTTAAGGAGGAAAAATTTAGTACATCAAATCACGTGCTTGTCGTAGTTTCCTTTTCTGTGTGTGTTCAAGTTGCTGATTTAAAATTCCTGTTTCAGATGATCTCTCAATTTTTTTCCTCGTTTCCCCAAACCAGTACAAGTCAGGCATTGCTACCAACTGGTTTGACTCCCCATACCTAACTCCCTAACACGTGGCTTGTTAGAGCAGTAATTTAAGATTTAATTTTGGGACATTCTGCCCAGGAATGTTAGGTTACTATTAATTCACAAATTGAAGATTGACTTAGTTTTTTCTCCTCTCTTACCAATCAGCATGTAGGGGCTGTATTGTCACAGCTGATAAGTTATCTAAAACCTCAATTTTTATTGCAGTTAACTTATAACTAGTCATCCAGGTCCTGTGCAGGTTTTCCCATCTGTCAGGAGATCACCAGAAGTATATGATGAGATTCTCATGCTCTCCTCTGCCCCTTGGTCACTTTTGCCACTCAACCTATTCCTAGTTCTGCAATCAAATTCAATAAAATATTGGTAAATGTCTAATCACAGAAGCTGCTGTGGACTTACCATATTGAGTTACTTAAAACCATGCAGATTTTGTCATTATGATTCCCAGTCAGTGAAGTCTTTGATTTTATAAACTAACCAACACAATCGAACCCAATAACGAGCGCGTGCGTGGAATTGCCTTGCTTTCGTTAAGTAGCTGAACACAGACTCAGGTATGTGCTGGTGCCAGGCAGGGCTTTACTTAAAGCTTTTGTAACTGTTGTTTGCAAAGTCTGTCATTCATCACTGTCAGTGAGTAGCTGAAATTTGCATAGATATCTTCATCAGTACATGTATCTTCCTGAAGTTGTGTTGTTTCCCAGTAGACTATATTGCCTATTTTCTGAGGGAGGGAGAAGGCACAACCCTTTCCAGTCCCTAACCAGCCTGATTTTCAAACGTTTGTATGTAGAGAACGATGGCTTAAGAGTTGCAGAGTTCACTCCTGCCTGAGAAAAAATTTAATTTGCTCATCCTTTCATTTTTTTAACTGGAGTTGATAGATGTTTTGTTCCTTACATATGAGACCTCTCTTTGCCAGCAGCATAAACCTTTATTGACAGATTTGTGCTGTTTCAGGAAGTATCCTTGTACTGAAAAAAGAGGTCGTCATCTCTTTGAGCATCAACTGGGTTATGCCTTTAGGGAATATCAGCTTTAGAGAGTCTTGGGTGCTTTTTTTCTTTCTTTCTCTCTTCCCCCCCACACATTTCACATTTCCTCTTATTACCCCTCTAACTCTGAATTAGACTCTTTGCATATACTGCTCCTGTGCCTGTGGAGTGTGTTGTTCTAGCCAAATACAAGACCTTTAAGGAAAAACAGGGCACCCAACCTCTGGTAAAATAAACACTTTGCTTTGTATATTCAAAGTGTTACACAAATCCAAGGTAACAGTCTTCTAAATTTTTTTTTTTCTTCTTTATTTTTATTTTTTTTACAATTGTTTTACCTTGGGAAAATACTGTCTCTGGGATCTCCCCAGCAGGTTAATGGCAACAGGGATTTCTGACTCTACCTTCGTACTCATTCCTCCAAGTATTTCCCCAAAATACGTACATTTTAAAAATCCATTATGTTTTTATTTATTTCCAGTGGGATTGAGGGGAGGAAAAGGACTGTGTGTGTTCTAACATTCGTTATTTTTGTAGGTGCTGGAGAGAACCTGGAAAACACGATGGCAGCCTTTCACCAGTGAGTACAAACGGAACCAATAATGCCTAAATTAGCAGCGTTCTCATTGTCTTTAGTGAGGGAAGCAATGGAGAAAGACAGGACTTCCATCAAGTGTTTGGGGTACAGTGTCCTGTTTCTGAAAGTCACCTCTCCTTTGGGTGACTTCTGAGATTGCAAAACATTACCCCAATTTAATTGGGATACCACAAACTATGATTTGTACACGGTAACGTGATAGACTGGCAACTGGAAATAAAACTCCTGAGGCATGATTCCTCCTGTGCCAGCTAATAAAACACGAAACCATAGTGCTTCGTGTTCCATGGCGATGGTTTCCATTCATTTATTTAACATTAGAAAGTTATTTTTCATAACTAACACCATGCACTGGTTTTTCTAGATACATTGATGCTTTTCAAAAGGTCTTTCAGATCACAGCCTATACTAATATGCTAATTAGCATATTAGATGCAGACTTCCTGAAATCCAGCCTTGGATTATGGCTGTAAGCAATTCCCTTCGACACTCCACAGTTTCACCGCATTCAATTCCCTCCTCTCTATATAGAAGGTTAATAATTTCTCTCCTAGAATTATTGTGACTGAAATCCTAATGTTAACTTTTAACATACCATCTCCAAAGCTATTAAAAATCTCTGTGTTATGTTTTTTTCCCTCTGTACACATATTTCATTTGCACAACGTGTGAAAGCCTCTTATCTGGGGGTTTAAAATGCAGTTGGTGCTGGAAAGCCTTTTAAGCCTCCAGCATTTAAGGAGTGAATTTCTAACAAGGTTCTCAAAGGCATTTGAAAAAGAAGCGTATCGAAAACCCCAGCTGCCAACGAGCAGTGACCAGCTTATGTAGGTTTCTCTTTGTTTTATTTGGGTTTTCTAATTTGCTTTGTACTAAGTAGCCTCATCAGTTTGCACATTTTCTTGCAGCCTGAGCAGTGCCAGCTTTCCCAACCAAGCAGGGCTATTGAAAGTACTGCAGTATTTTCTATCTCCATGGAAGCTCAGCGGAGTTGTGTGGTTTTTTTTCCTGCTGGCCTGCCTTTTTTTCAAGTCTGTTACCACACTTTCTGGAAAGTGCTGCTTTTTTTTTAACCATTTCTTAATTTTCATTTAATATCGTGCTGGTTTTATCTGTATAGGGCTCTTACAAAGAAAGTTACACCATAACGTGTTTTTATTTCATTCCCAGAAATAAGCTGTAGTTCTTAAAGTAAGGACTGTGCTGGGAGACAAATAATGTTTAGTGGTAATACAGACACTTGTCTGACTCTCATCAGACTATTTTCATTATTTTATGACTCTAGTGTAACAGATGCATTGAGGTCCACTTTGTGAACTCATCACAACTGCCAATAGCAAAGTTCAGTTACTTGTTTTGAGATTGTCTTGGCTGAATAATAAAGGCATATTATTTCTGCATATTAAACACCATTCCAGGCCTTGATAAGCAGGTCTTGTGGTGACATGGCACCCCAGACAGAATTGAGTCAGACAAGGGGACTCATTTCCGAAACAATCTCATAGACAGTTGGGCCAGAGAACATGGCATTGAGTGGGTGTATCACATCCCCATCATGCACCAGCCTCTGGGAAAGTCCAGCGATGCACTGGGCTGTTTAAAACCACACTGAGAGCGATGGGTGGTGGGACTTTCAAACATTGGGACACAAATTTAGCAAAAGCCACTTGGTTAGTCAACACCAGAGGATCTGCCAACCGAGCTGGCCCTGCCCAATCGAGACTTTTACGTATTGTAGAAGGGGATAAAGTCCCTGTAGTTCACATTAAAAATATGCTGGGAAAAACAGTCTGGATTATTGCTGCCTCGGGTAAACGTAAAACCATTAGCGGGGTTACTTTTGCTCAAGGACCTGGGTGCACTTGGTGGGTGATTCCTTTGCATTAAGCAGCAGAAAGTCTCCTGGCTTCCCCTGTGCAGGGGTGAAGGCTTTGTCCATCCCATCCACTCATTCCCATCTCCACTGGTAAGCTAGCGAAAGGAATTGGGTAGAAAACTGGTGATCTGCATGGTGAAAAATCAGCTGGATTTGGCTCAAGACGGCTGATATGAACTAATCAATTTATAACCCATCGGATTTTTGCATGAAGCTGAGTAGGGTGTGCCTGCAAGAGCTGTTTCTGCAGGTTTGGACAAGCAGGGATGTTTGACAGTTGATGTAGTTGAATCCAAATGAGAATCCTCATCTGCAACATAAGACCTACCCCCTTGTTTTTGCCTTGTTGACAGTAACCTGAGTGTTGACAAGCAAACACTTTTAGTTATGCTGTTTACACTCTAACAGTGATTGGAAAATATTTAATACTGTTGCATGATAATCAAGAAATTATTCTAGTAATATATAAACAAAGTGTATGGGACAGGAAAGCCCTTAATGGTAATTTCAAGTTCTATACTAGCTTAATTTACAAATATTCTGGAGAGCCATTAGAAGCTTTCTGTACTAAAGACAGTATTTTTTTTGTTTGCATGGTGAGATACCTAATAGATTTTTTTGGGGGGCTATAATAATGTTATATTGTATTTAAGTAATTCTGTGGTGATTTTAGAATAATTGATCTTAAGCTAAAAGAGACACTTGCAGTGCCTTAAAGTATTTGGGGATCTGGCATAAAAAAATATCATAAAAAATTAATTACCAGTTTAATTGTCCCATATACGGCCATATACTCAAGCATTGCCTTGACAGGAAGCTGCTAAGTAAACTTGCCAGGTATTTTTCTCATTGTATTTCCTTTTCTTTTAGGGACATACTTGGTTTAGAGAGAAAACTTTAAACACTGTAATTACAGCAATAAAAGTATGTGGTCAGCTTAGTATTTGTAAACTCTATACATTGTGCTACATTGGGCTTTGCCTAATGGAATTTAGTTCCCAAGATTAAAGCTTTTCTTACATATTTCCTAGTATGTCCTTTTGCTTGAAAACAGTTGGGATTAAACATGAGCAGAGAGCTCTGTCATCCTGATTTGAAAAAGTGAGCCTGCTCCACAGCTTGAGTTCTGGAGCAGTTGGATCTGAATCCAACACATTCTTCTGAATCTGAAGAGCATCTGGAGCCTTCTCTGGAGCAATGTAGATTTGATGTGTTATTACAGAGCTGCAGAACAAACTGATTTCCAGCTGAATTTAAACGCAGCACTGTAAGGAAGTTTATTTAGCAACAAGCTGCAAGTAAGAGCCTGGCAAATTCTCAAATCTGTTAACAAGGCAAGTTGTTGTTCTCCTTTTTCCACACAGCATCAGTCCTGAATTTCTTAAGCAGTAATATTTCTAATAAACTTCACTGGTGAAATGATGATATGTGGTACTAGATGGGAATGGCTTCTACAAATTTGGCAAATCTGCAGCGTGTTTGGAGATGCTTTTCCTCAGGAGGAAAAATTACACGGAACAGGCTGTGTATCTTCCACGTGTAATAGGATTTTGTTCCTCTCCTAATTCTTAATTAGTGGCACTGTAAAACAGTTAACAAATTAGTTTTAATTTGACAGCTCCCTTCTTGAGAATTATCCCAGCTGAACCAGAAATTGTATTAAACCCTTATGAGAGTATATTCTATTTTTTTTTTTCTTTTATTATTGCATTTGTGAATGTTTATGGCATGTCTGTACTTCAGCAGTCAGTAAAGCCCTTTTCTGAAGGACAAGGCTGTTACTGAAGTCGCAGAGCTTTGGGTCTGGTCGAGGCTGTACTCACAGATGTTACAGGTTTGTTTGTAGGTGGATGAAATGGACAGGCCAGTGTTTTGAAGGAGATGTTCAGACTTTAATCTGGGGCTTTTAGCCGTCTGATGGAATGATACCTTCTGAGTTTATTTTCTGATGAAATGAGCAATTTGCTTCACATTGGAGTAAAGCTTAGTTTTTCTGTTCTGGTGTGAGGTTTCTTGTATTTATTTTTCAACAATATTATTACTACTTTCTGTTTTCTCCTTCTCCTATGAGCTAAGCTTCTGTGGAGTGGATTTCAGATTTGATTAGAACTTTTCAAAGCAGTGGGTTGGAACAGGAATAGGTATTTTTCTTTGAAAAATATGACGGGGTATTTTAGTATTGGTTTGTTGGGTTTTTTTTTAATTTAAAGTTAAAACTTTTTCATCAAAATAATAATAATTTTTTTTAAATGGAGTTTTGCCAGACCAAAAAAACCCCCCAAAAACCTGAAAGCCCCATTGCAAATTTCCTGATTAACTTAAATCAAGTAAAAAAAGACTTTTACTTTCCTGACACTTGTTGTTTATGCTTACCACAAAATTGGTAACTTTTTAAAGAGAGCTGATTTCTTCCAGTGGTAAATGTGCTGATACTAATAAACATCACACTCAAGATTCTGAAACAAGACTTCAGAAGTAGGTTTCTCAACAGGGAGGCAGTAGGCTGCAATCCCCAGGTATGCTGCTTTATTTCTGTGGAAGTCGGAGCCAAAGCTGCTGAGTTCAAATCCCATCTCTGATTCATCACATGTTGTTTGTTCTTACATCAACTTTCCCACTGCAGCAGTTATTTGCTTCTTGCTTTGCAGCAAGATTGTGAGGATTCATTGCATCATAAAACATCTAAAGTACCTCCACTAGGATTAGTTTAATTGAATAGCATGTGTATGGTAGGTTTGGACCTGTACAAAATACACTTGTGGTTCAAGGCAGACTTCTTTGCTTCCAGCGCTGTTAATATAGGAACAGACATGTTGGAGCTAGATTGTCACCTGACAAAAGATGAGCAAGTGGTTGTGTCCCATGATGAGAACCTGAAGAGATCAACAGGAGTTGATGTCAACATATCCGACCTCAAATACTCTGTAAGTTGAAATTAAAAAACCATTAGTGCTAGAGATGATGTTTTAAAATGTGTTCGTAGAGTGTCTGGGGTTGGCAGGAAGGTTGTGTGCGTGTGTGTCTAGTATATCAAAATCTAAGGAGAGGATTCATCTTGTCTTACTAAAAAAAATAAAAGTTAACTAGGCTCCTTCTGTAGTCAAGGGAGAAAAACCAGCACGTTTCCAGAGGATGATTAACTCTGCCCAAGAGTAGCTTGGATGAATAGCTTCCTGGAGAGGGGTCTGTTCTGCCACGCTGATGACAAAGGAAGCTCAGTCAACGAGCTCCTTCTCATATGACCAGCTTTTTAATGGGAAAACCAGTAGATGAATCCCACCTCCCACCTGCATTGACGGTTTTAAAAGCCTGTTTTAGAGAAGTTTTTTTCCATCTGATATTTAAGTGGAATTCTCAGAATTTTCTGACAAGCATCTGGAAACATTTTGCCTTACTCAGGTACAGGTAACACCAGTCTAAGAATGCCAAATATTTCAAGTAAGAATGAACACAGTACTTCTAAATCACTTTTTGGACAAGAAGATTTAAAAAAACCCACTATTTTTGTCTTTAAAGATAACTACATAGCTTATGAATTATAATTTTTTTTTGTCTTTTTTGATAAAAATCTTGATTATATCCCTGCATTTGAATTAGTGTTCCATTTCCCTTTATTTTTAAGGAACTTCCACCCTATCTCTGCAAGTTGGATGTCACATTTCAGAAAGGTAAGTTTTTGACTTTTGCTATTTCAATTTACAGTACCACTAATTAATTTTCCATTATTGTAGTGTGGTAATTTCTTATTTTGCCAGAGATAGTAGAGAAGTGAATTTGCTTCTATCAGTATCTTGGTAACAGAAGTTTTAAAAGGAAAATATAATCATAGCTTTAGAAACCAAAATATATTTTTATACCAGTTGGCAGTGACTAAGTTTAAGATGTAAGATCTTTTTCCAAGTAAACATTTGGTTTGTTTGCTTGTCTACTTCTTGCAACTACTTTCCAGTTCCCTTGTGAGATCTTCAGAAGGTGCTGATTGAAAATTTGTTGTTCTGAAAAATGAAGAGAAGGCAGAAGAGAGTTTCTTTACAACTGAAATGCTGTTGTGATGGTGCACTCTGGGCTTGAAGTACTACCAGATATCAGATAATAGATTTTCAGAAGGCTGAATGGAAAGAGTAGGAGTTACTGTAGGTATGACTTAAAGTTCAGTACCAATATTGCTGCAAGAGAGGAGAAGCTAGAAAAAGATTAACCTGTTTTCTTCTGAAAACTCTGGTTGGTGGGACTATAATTTGAATAAAGCAAAAATTGAGAGTGCTGCTGCCTAGAAAAAGCTACCAGAGATGATACCAGCTGTGTTTGTTTGCTTGAGGGCTTTGTGACTCTCTTGTGTAGCCTTTCCATATTTGAATTGCCCAGCAAGCAAATTTGGTGTTAAACATTTCTGGTCAAAAATTGAAAAATACTGAAAATGCACCAAGATGAGATCCTTGATGACTTATTTTCACACATATTTATCTTTTGTTTATGTGCTGTAATACAAAGAGATGGCGAGAGCCTTCAGTTAATCCCCTAGAGCCATAAGGAGTTTCAGACAATAAAATCTGGGGGGGGTTTGCCTTCTGTTCCCTTTACTTTTTATGCTTCACCAGCAAATTTTCCTAGAAGGAAAAGGTTTTCTCACTTGATCTTGTTTTATATTAATCTCATTGCATTTGGTATGTGGTAACTGAGCCCATGTTTGCTATTTCAGTATTTTAACGATGCCTGCACTCCTACTGTTGCTAAATAATGACTGAATTTAATGAAGTTCAAACCTAAATGTGCAATATGCTCGGGGCAGTTTCATTATGGAAGTGAGATTGTCATAACTGATTACAACTAGCTGAGTGAAGTAAATGTATTTATTATTTTTCAGTTTAAAAGTGTGCTAATTCTAGGAACTTTTTTTTTTAATGTTCAGATAACAAGTGCTTTATCTGTGGTGTATTGAAAATGGTCACAGCAGTGACAACTTTCTTGTTTCCCCAGAATGTCACTGTGAGGGAAAAGACAACCGTATTCCACTCCTGAAAGAGGTGTTTGAGGCATTTCCACAAACTCCTGTCAACATTGACATCAAAGTGAACAACAATGTGTTGATCAAAAAGGTACATGAAAATCTACCCTGAAAGAAGACTCAATGTCATGTAATTGTGTTGAAACTCCGAAAGAAAAGTTATATCAGAATTGCTAGCAGTCTGGGACACCACAATCTGTGTTCTTGGACTGCTTCATCCTTCACATGTTAGCTCTTGCTCTGTGTATGAGGTAATGCAGAAGAAAGAAAAGTGATCTTGTGCAAGACATTCAGCAAACAGCTCTTTACTGACCCTTTATCTTGACGTGAAGCTGATGCTGCACTGCTAGACACCTTTGGTTTGTACTTCACGTGAAGGGTTGTCTCACAGACTGTTGCCTACCAAAGCAGTGTAAAAACACGATGTCAGTGTAAAGATAAGTGTCTGTTACAGAAAAGGAAATCTGCTTTCCATCAGATACTGTTTTGCCATCTCGTTTTCTTGAGTTTTCTAGGGTTTTTTGTAGGTAGATTGGTCTTTCTTTTTATCTGTTGACCTGAACATCTGTTTCTTTCCAGTCAAAGCAGCACACTCATCTTAAGGTGGAAGAGTATAGAAAAACTGTATTTTCTATGATGGCTTATGTAGTTGAAAGTAACAAGTACAGTTTCAGTTAAATAATTCTGTGCATAATTTTCAATGAATACACATTAGAGTTGTGCTTTTTTTTTTACATTACAGGTGTCAGAGCTGGTGCGTGAATATAAGCGAGAGCATTTGACGGTGTGGGGCAATGTCAATTATGAGGTTGTATCAAAGTGTCTTAAGGAGGTAAGAATGGTCCCGCTAAGCTGTGGTCTTGTCTGCTTGTTACTATGTGGTGACAAAAGGTACAGAAAAGCACCCTGTAATTCAAGATCTAGCCAGCTCTGCCAGACTTCCAGATGGGATGAGAGATTTTGCACTTAAATTGTATTCTCCTTACCACACTGCTACAATAAATCAAGCACAGTTAATACCCATATACTCTGCAGTAAAATGCTTGAGGAATTAAGCTTAATCGTGTTTTATTCTTGTTCTATAAAATACAGAATGTTATGATTTTTTGCCAGGAATTCTTAGAGCCAGTTTCATGCATCATTCATCTGGTACAAAAGCAATTTTTCTAAGGACTACTTATTGTGTGTTTCTTATTATGAAAATAATGGATGTGGCCCCTAGTTGACACACAGTTACATTGGTATAAAGCTGTTTTACAGCTATAGATTCTGTTCCTTTTTGTGCTGAGGAATTGTACAATTTAGAATTAAATTAAAATTGTGCTTAGCCTGAGGGAATTACACACCTGAACAAAACTGATTTAGTTGAGAGTACAGATATTGTTCTGATTTATCTCTGCAGGATGACACACCATTTCCTACCTGAACAAGTTATATTTGTTCATTTTTGTAGCATCAATGCCCAAATATTTTGATTTATAAACCAGCATCTTTAAAAACGTGTTGTGAAGTGAATCGATGTGATATCAAAGTGTAACAAGTCCTCTGCTAAAGCACAGCTTGTTCTTTGTGGTAATACTAGTCTAAGACAAAACGCTGCGTGGGGTCACGCAGTCTGGAAGGATAATGAAGGTGGGTGACAAGCTGTACTGTGACCAGTGAAACTTTTACCTTATCAGGTCCCAACGCCCCTTCAAATTGTGTAAAACTTTTGCTTGGATTACAGGCTACCAAACAGAGTAATTTAAATTCAGTGACAGGCATATCAGAAACAGTTGGCAGCCTCATCTTCAGGTGCCAAGTGCTAAGCTTTAAATATGCATTGATGAGTAAACTTAATTGCAGCAGACTCAATAATCCACCAAGATAATTCGGAATCTCTCTTTCCTGGTTCCTGCAGAATGCTGACATTCCCATCATCTTCTGTTCTCAACGTGTCCTCCTCCTTCTTGGCCTGTTCTACACTGGTCTGCTGCCATTCATTCCTTTCAAGGAAGAATTCTTGGAAATTCCCATGCCTTCAATCATCCTCAAGTGAGTTAGAGTCCATCAGTGGGTGCTGCTCTGAAATAACAGTAAAACAAGTGAAGGATAACGCCTGCTTGAGCATCAGTTTCTCAGTATCCTTTGTTAGTTGAGGTGCTTTTGTATATTCCTGAGAGAAAACTGTGCAAACCTCCTGCTCCTCTGTATTTCACCTGTCTGTAGCCAGCTCTGAGTTTCTCGGTTGTCACTGTGGGGTGCCTGTGTGTATCAGTGTTTCCTGTTTACAGCATCTCCTGTAAATACTGTCTTCGTGCAGCTGCCTTTACAACAGAGCTTGTGCCGATGCCATCAAGATAGGAATATGTAGCAGTGCTATATAAATAACTAATCCTTGCCCTTTTCTCCCTCTTTCTTGAGAACAAATTAGTCTGAATAAGTCCAAGAGGCAAGTCAGTAATAGGGTGATGAGTTCTCACGTGTTCTTTGTTTCTCATACTTTACTCAAAATGCTGCTGAATACCCATCTCTGCTGCTGCTTCTTACATGTAGCACATTTCTCTTGTGTAACCCAATTCTAAGTCACTGTTTTAGGGAAATTACTGCTCTAATTTGAGAAACTGCAAGATTAATTCTTCATGTTCCTTTTGCAGGAACATCTCAAATAATATTTTTATCTGTGCTCCAGTAATCTTTTTTTTTCCTTTTCCTCAACAGGCTGAAAGAACCAGAGAAGATGACAAGAAGCCAGAAATTTATTATCTGGCTAGCTGACACGTAAGATTTTAATCTTATTAAATTTTTACTTATATTTTGCTGGTGTATTAACAGTTGGCTCAAGCAACTAAGATTAACTATTGCTATAGCTACTTCTGATGTTGTAATTTTTTTTCAGTTTCTTCTAGCTTTATTGTCAGTGCAGCATAAATCATGTTCAAGTCTTACGTAGGTGTTCCTGTACACTTTTATTTTTCATACAGTGAAACATACTGAGGTGCAGTAACAGTGGGCACTATTCCAATTTGGTCTTATTTAGCTTCTGTCGTTAAGAGTGTTCAGTTAATTAGCATGCAAGTAGATTCAGAATGCAGCTTTCACGTTTCAGAGGATGGTGACTGTTTCATAATGTTGTCAGAGGAGATGCTGTTTGGCTTACATGGAACACTTTGCATTTGAAAGATCTCAGTGCTTCAGAGGAAGCTTAGTCACGTGCTTTCCGATGTTGAATGTGATCCCCGTAAGTGTCTTCTGGCTCTTGATTCTGTGCCTGACAAATAGTTGTTAGTTTGATTTCTTGAGTGGCCAGTAGTGTTTTCACGTTTTCTGGTGTGAAGGGTGAGATCTCTTCTGAAAGCAAAGGGATTGATTCATTGGACATGGTACAGAGTACATGTGTGACGGAGGAGAAATCTGCTGGATTTGATCTTCAGAAGAGTTGATGCAAATACCCACAGCTAATGCACATGTCTGAGTATCTGTGTTAACCAGTCTTGAGTTGCTTGAACTAAAAGTTTTCTATTATTAGATTTCTAATCACTTCCTTGTGGAAAACATTGACTCTAAATACTCCATGGAAAATTTATGACAGAACATCAACATTGAAAATTTCATATCTACTTCAAGTTGTTTAATATCTTTCTCCTTTCTGCAGATTGCTAATGCGGAAAGCGCTTTTTGACCACCTCACTGCTCGGGGCATTCAGGTACAGTGTGGCAAAGCTAAAGGAAATGTGCTCTTAACCTAGTGAGGATTTGAACCAGACAGATAGGGTCTGAAGATGGGTTCATGTTCTTTCCAGCATGTTCTGTTACATTGATAGGATTATAAGTTGCTTTTTGTTTAGCAATAGCTTATGCTGTTATATTTGCAGTTCTGTAGTTGCAAAGGAAGAACTGTATGCTGGGAAAAAAGACTCTTTATTTTACATTCCTTTAAGATTATTTTTTCCCCACATCCAACTTAAGCCTACAAAATCTGCTAAACTTGCTGACCTATTTTAGACTTTTCACAAAATAATATTTTGACTTTTGAAAATATCTGAAGTCTCAGGTAAGGAAATGGAGTTGGAGTCACCACTAGAAAATTCCCTCTTTTGGAGAGTGAGCTGGGGAGAAGCTGGATGTGTTTGTGTGCATGTCTTTGGCATCACAGTTTAATCATATGTAATTTAAAATGTAGGTGGCATCATCTCTCTCACATGAAACAATTTAGGTCTAAAGTCACCTTCTTTTTTAAATTTGAGTATTTCCTGTAATAATTTGTCCCTGTATCCCATCTCATAGGTGTACATTTGGGTACTGAATGAGGAACAGGAATACAAGAGGGCATTCGATTTGGGAGCAACTGGAGTGATGACAGACTATCCAACAAAACTTAAGGAGTTTTTACACAATTATCCAGCGTAAAGGAAGAAAACTGAGGAAGTTCTTGCAGAACAGATTGTGAGCCAAGGATTTTCTTCATTTAAAAAAAAAATAATTGAGCAGCATACACAGATCACTTTGTTTGAAAGATGTAATTGGATGATCTATTATTACCTTAATGTCAAGTTGCTACCTAATGTAAAGGTTGTCTATTTATTTTAAAATTTAAATTACATAGTTTACATTTGTAAATAGCTCTTTTAGCAACAGTGCACTTCACAAATAACGATGACTAGGATGAAAGTCGCTGGATAGGAAACCTGTAGATAATATGCATCATTTTACCTGTCACAAGTGTTCCTAAGCAGATGTCAAGACGTGTCTGTTATTCCAGTTATATTCTAGTGGGCAGAAATGAAAGAATTTCTGAAAATGTACCCTGTGTGTAGGCATTTCTTGTGTTGCTTTAGTTTTCAGGTAACATGTAGGGCAAAAAAGCAAACCAACGCACAGGAGAAAGGGAAAGCAGAATCTGTGGCTAGCCAGGTAGTTTAACCTGTGAAGTGTAGTCAGTAAAGCTGGTCACTTTTTAACCAAAATTAACTCACTTGATCAGTATAGATGTACTTAATTATTCTTACTGATAAGAAGTTTAAGCTTGAGTTGCAACTGTCTTCAGACCCCTTTCTGATGTGATGGTAATACTGTGACTTACCAGTCAAGGTCTAAATACAGCATTTAAGCCAGGTTCTGGGTTCCACTGCAACAGTCTGGGTTTGCCCCTGGTTCTGACCTGCCTCTCAGGCTACCATGGTGTGGCAGTAGCTAGCTTTCCAGAGAGGAAGATTACACTTATTATAGATTACATTTACTTTGAAATAGTCTTTTCACAAAGGAAGCTTTTAGAAGTCTTTTGCACATTTGTACTTCTACCATCTGTTAGCTTGATGAATGGGAAGTTGTTTTTAGGGTGAGGGACCAAAGAAGACTTAAGTTTTGGTCAGGAGTTTCAGGAAAAAAAATTGAATGTTCCTATTAGATGAATTCATCCAAAGCAACTTTACATGCATAGTTATAAAAGGAGCAAGTGTCAATCTAGGATGTGTGTAGATTTTAGTCTTTTCTCGCCACAAAATTCAAATTCAATATTCCTTAAGTTTCTGTGCATGGACATGGAAGTAACTTCACTGGCAAAAGCCAGGAAACACCAAGTGTGGTGGAATGGGGTTAGATAGGAAGATATTTCTGGCAATGAAGATGCTGTTCTGTCATTGTGAAGAGGTGTTATACGTGTGTCAAACAGATTTGAGCCTGCAATGCCTCTGTGTGTTGGTGATGTCATGTTAATGGTAGGGGTTTTCAGAAGGAATTTGATTACTGTAGCTTAATTACACACAATGACATGTATAAAGCTCAGTCATTTAGTCATCAGATACTGCTAGGACAAAACTATTGTTTAGTTGATAGTATCTACTTCTTTAAGGAACTTGCTGCTAGGATAAAACTACTGTTTAGTTGATAGTTGATAGTATCTACTTCTTTAAGGAACTTCACTTGAAAATTATGGATCTTAATAGTAGAGTAGCCAGATGCAAGAGTATATTTGCTGCAAGGTATACTCAGTGCTGTAAAAACTTTTAAAATAAGTTATTTTTTTCCCTTGCTGGCTCAGATTTGGAAGGGCTCTTGTTTCACTCCACTGGCTGCTCTGCCGTACTTGTAATCACGGAGCATCTTTGCTGTTTTATCATGTCTCTCAGTAGGCTGTCAGTGTTAGAACATCAAGTCCATCTGGATGGATAATACTTGTTTCTGCATTATAATTCCATTCTGAGGAACATTCTACATGGATGAAGTGGAAGAAACTACTGCAGTTGTAACTGAAGTGAACGTGATGATGGTAGCAAATGAGTTAATGGTCTCTTTCTAAATACCTGCCTGGTTAACATGACTGTAGATTCAGTTTCCTTTTAATTTAATCAGACTTGTTGCTTGTTAAATGGAAGAGAGGAAAATGTAACTTCTTAACTGTTCATAGGAAAAAGAATGAAATTATTTATTACGTGCTAAGTTTCTTGTTTCCCTTTCAGACCAGTTATGTCTGGTCAGATGACTGCTAATAATCAGTCTGGTCATAGTTCTGCCTGCTTTCTAGTAGTCACAGAACAGTTATAGAATAGGCTCCATATCCAGTCAGTAGGTAAATGATAAACTTCCACCCTTCCATCTGCATTTGGTTTTCTAGCCAGTGTGGAGCTCCAGATAGATGATTTTTAAATTTTTTTTTAAATGCAGTGTGGTTTTCTTCAACTCAGTTTTGTTGCTATTGAATTTCCAACATGCACACCGGTATTAAGATGCAAATATAATTCTGGATTTAGACAGGATTCCCAAATAGCAATTATATGTTAAAACTTTTTATTTTAGGCTAGGAAAAACTAAGTTTTAAAATACCAGTCTTGATTTCTGGACTTGATCTCTCAAGGGAGAGGTGAAGACTTAGTTTCTCCCTCAGGTTTCCCTCATCACTGCATAAATAAACTATTTTACTTTATTCTGTATCGAATGACAAAACACAGTTATTGAAATGACAAACTTAATTTCTTAAATGTAATTTTTATCTTTTTCCTCTTTAGCAGTGGTGTTGGAAACTTTTGCCTTCAGAGATGATCTACACATTTTTTTCAACCACTAGTCTTCCTACATCTGATGTAGCTTTTGACTGTGCTGTTTATACATGACCTCTCTTAGACAAGTCTACTGTTTAATATCTGAAATTTGAATGAGTCAAGTGACATGGGAGGGAAGGGGTTCAGTGATGGAAAAGCTGCTGGATTTATTCAATCCTTTAGGCTTTGGTACAAGAGCTACAGTTTGATCTCTTGAGACAGGTAACGGTGCATGGACGAGGCCATGAATCTGAGCATCAATGCACAGGGCTTAGGCCATGATAACTGTTTGTAACAAACTAATGTGGAATTAAGGTAACTGTAGAATGTTTGTTCTATCAAATCATTGTTTTCAATATTCCAGAACTTGCTGTGTGATTTTTAAACCACTTGTACAGAAAAGCATTTGTTGCAAACTTGCACAGCTGTCCAGGAGGATGTTCAGTTTATCTCTCTCTCTCTCTCTCTCTCTCTCTCTCTCTCTCTTTCTCTCTCCAAGGAGAGATTCTTTTCAGGTACTTTTAACTTTAAATATTGTTTAACACTTACTGTGTTCTCAATCCTATTGCAAAATATTTTATGTATGAAGGATGATGCATGTATTCCATGCACTTTTAATTTGCAGAAAGTCTTGTGGACCTTTGTAGCTCCAATTCTATGAAATGGTTTTTTTTTTTCTTGTAAAGAAAGATTCATGCTCTTGTGACACATTAAAACATCTTTGCTCATAAAAGATCTAAACCAAAGTGCTTATTAGTTGTGACTTCTTTGCCCAAATGTATAATTTCTGAGATTATGGTATTATATTTATACTGTAGTAAACGTTGAACTTCAGTGGTGATCTTATTACATGGATAGGGTTGCTGAAAAGAAGGGAGTGTCTTACATACCCTGAACTGAAGCCATTTTTGGCAACTGTGTTGGCCTTTACTTTGCACTTCCCTGTAAAAATGTCTGTCTGCATCAGAGCTGGTTTCTAATGATTTCTTTTTAGAAATCATGATCCTTAATTCCTTAGCACAGTAATGCATACCTAAATAAATATCAGCTTTTATTGGCTGGAGGACATGTCTGCACATTTATAATATTACAGGTCAAGTTTTGAAAACACTGACAAAAGCATCTTATGTAGCCTGGTTCTAGATATCAGCTCTGAGCTGTAAGCAGGCTCATTAATTTAATTACAGAAGTTTCCAGATGTGGAAGGTATTGTATCCTATGTACATATATCATACCTGAGTTGAATGGGGGAAAGGAAAAGGTTCAGTTCTCTGTGCATGTGAAATACTGTAGCAGAGGAGCTGGCCTGAGTGTGAAATGAGAACCTTCATTGTGAAAGGGCTTTATCTGTTTGTTTGGGTTTTTTTACTTGATTAATAACCATAATTTTCTATTTGGTCTTTGTTGAAATGGTAAATATATGATAATTTAGACTTAATTTAAGGGCTACAGTAAGATAATTTTTTAAATTATCTTGAAATAACTTTCTGTAATGTCTTACAGACACTTTTGTTCTAATGAACTTTCTCCCACACACACACTGAGTCTTCTACCTGCTCACTTTTGTAGAATACTTATGCAAAAGATTGTGGATGATCAATGAAAGAGGAATGGATTATGGAGTACAAGGAGCCTTTGACAGTTGGCAGGTATCTGCTTCTGAATTGGGGACAGCAAACCAGCTGTGTTCTGAACATCTTCATATTAACAAGTTCTCCATTTGTAGCGTGTTTCTGGATGGTGTTGTGTTGGGTGATAGTTCACTATAAACACGGTGCTTTCTTTTTCTACTGATAAGCAGGTTAATGTTTCCTCTAGTCCTAGAGGTAAATTTCCAGCTTTCCTACTGGATTTCCATTAAATTACATTGAATACTAGGTTTTAAGGTCAAGTGTAATTTTAAAGCCTTAAAGCTTCGTATTAGATAAGAGAGCTCAAGGGGTGGGGTTGTGTGTAATAGTATTTAGTAACTTTTAAAGGATGTTGGCAGGCTGATGAGAGGGTTTCCCAGCTTTACTGCTTGCTAATCATTTAGTAAACCAGAATAGGGAATTGGGAAGCATTAATGAATGAATTAATTAACATGGGAAAGATTAATCTACAATCTCTTCAGGTTGTGTATCATAAATCTGCATTACTAACACTTGTTACTCAAACAGAATATTCAGAAGAACTTAACATGGTTTATCCAAAGCAAGAAGGTTTGAGGTGCAGCTATTTTCCTGTATTTTCAGGATATACTTTTCTACATTGATGAGCAAGATCATCGGTGTTGGTAGGAATCTCAGAGATCCTGGATTGTCCCAGGAATTTCTTGCGTGAGTGGAGAACAGATTGTTTTCCTGGCTGTGTGAAATGCCTTACTCAAAGTATGTAGAAAAGTCACAAAACCTTAACAAACCCAGAACG